CAACCTCTCGCGAGAACCGACCAGCCACCCGCTTCTGCCTTCCCGGCGCACGCAACGCAAGCGAGGTAGGGAGGCACACGAGCGAGCGAGCGCTCGGCGGCCCGGGTCACGCGCAAAGCTACAACCACCTACCAACCTAGTACTGCTACTCCGCTTGTAGCGCCAGTCTACCACCGCCCCAACAAAGCGCTGGAGACGAAAGCAACGGCAGCGGCAGGGGTCGCCATTGGAACAGCTCGGATGTTACGGCTCGCTCGCTCCCCTCCCCAACGCCTCCCTCGGTGCCTTCCCTTGCGAGCGAGAGGAGAAAGGAAAGCGAAAGGCTAGGCCCAAATCTCGTGACACCTACGGGAGCAAAGCAGAGCAGCGCAAAGCGGCGGGCCTTTTTTTTTCCACGCCGCGCACCACCAACCAGAGCACGCCCGCACGGCAAGGAACGGCGCGCGGCAGCAGGCAGCAGCAGCAGCACGGGGTTAGCTCTAGCTAGTGGTGGTGGAAGTGGAAGAGCCTTCGCAGGGGGAGCGAGGGGACGGAGAGGGCCGGAGACGGGAGATCTGCCTCGTCGTCCTCTGTCAAAAGCGGCACGCACATGGCGGGGTGGCGTGGCGAGAGCGCATCATGGGATCCACCTCGGCGTTGCCGTGGGACGGGCCAAGGATCCGAGGGAACAGCTGGAATCCGAGAAGCGCGGGGTAGGTGGTGGACCGGTGGTGGAGCGGGTTGGCGAGCGAGGTTTTAGTGAGGAATACCCGTACCCGAGAAGGGGTGGCCGAGCATTGTAGCATGGATGAGTGATGAGTCCGCGTGGTTGGCTGGCTCGGTGGCGCACGTGAGGAGAGCCAGCGAGGGGGTACAGCCGTACAGCGGCGCCGCATGCCCTGGAAACGCGCACACGTGCTGACGCGCCGTGGAGTCGCCGAGCATGCTCTAGCGTCAGCGTCACCCTCAGCTCCATCAACTCCAAATCAAAACCCTCGACATCCGATCCTCGTGCGCTAAGGAACCTATAAGAACTATGTAAAAGTTAATTTTTAGTCTCTGAGAACTATTTTCCCTTATACACAGTTCACTCTACAGCCAAATAACACATGTGCTAGACTTGACATTCTATTAACTTATAAGTACTTAGTAAACAATCTCAGTCTATCGTTGGCTTTATTGCTAACTAGTAGTAGTAGTAAACACGTTGGAGTTGAAAACAATGGACGTCTAATAAATCATCCACTTGCACTCGGTAAAGCCCGAAATACACTCGGCAAAGGCTTTGTCGAGTGTCGTACTTGGTAAAGGGCACTCGGCAAAGAATTAATCGGTAAAGAAGCCTTTGCTGAGTGCTTTTTATCGGGCACTCGGCTTTGCCGAGTGCCGGAAAAGCACTCGGGAAAGATTTACGTTCGGCAAAATAAAAATGCGAAAAAACTAAAAAATAATAGCAATTTTTTTTCGGGGGAGGCCGCCACCGGCCAGCGCCCGCCCGTCCGTCCGTCCGTCCAGCGCCACCGGCCATCGAAGTCGCTGTATTTTTTGCGCAAAATTCGCGGCTAACGCGGCGCGGGATTCGAACTCACGACATCTCCCTCGTGTGTCTGCTGCTCTACCACTGCACTACACTGTCGCTTGTGTCTAGATTCCGTTATCTATCCTCATATATTATACTAAACCGAGAGTAAATTGCTTGTTGGAGGTCCTAAACAAGTTTAAATAAAAACGTGGTCAACTATAAAGTTTCATAACTTTTCGAGATCTACAATTTTTATTTAGGAAGTTTTTCCATCCGAGGTCGTTTGAAAAATTCGAATTTCAAATTTGAGATTCAAACGTAGTTTTGCATGATAAGATGATTTCAAATCAAAAAGTTGTCAACTACATAGTTTCATAACTTTTGGAGATCTACAATTTTTATTTAGGAAGTTTTTCCATCCGAGGTCTTTTGAAAAATTCAAATTTTAAAATTTTCAAATTCAAACGTCGTTTTTGCATGACAAGATGATTTCAAATCAAAATGTTGCCAACTACAAAATTTCATAACTTCTCAAGATCTACAAAGTTTATTTTAGTCATTTATTCATTCGATATAGTGGTAGTAACATTATTCACAAATCTTATATATCTCTCTTCTACTTTCACGAAACTAATACGAGAGATATGAGAGAGATGTCGATTTTATGAACAACGTTATTGTCGCTTTATCAAATGAAGAAATGCTCAAAATAAACTTTGTAGATCTTAAGAAGTTATACAACTTTGTAGTTGAAAAGTTTTCCATTTGAATTCATTTAGGGCCTCAAAAATTGTTTTGAAAAAATAATTTGCCGAGGGTAAAAAAAAACACACGGCAAAATGCCTCTTTGCCGAGTGAAAAAAAGGCACTCGGCAAAGACGTATTTTGCCGAGTGCCGAAAAATGGCACTCGGCAAAATACATCTTTGCCGAGTGCCGAAAAAAAAACACTCGGCAAAGCCATCTTTGCCGAGTGCCGAAAAAACACTCGGTAAAGCCGTCTTTGCCGAGTGCCTGATAAAATACACTCGGCAAAGCTTCCGGCACTCGACAAAGTGCCAGTTTCCGATAGTGATCACTAAATTAGATGCATGCATGGGCCGGTCACCAACAACCTTGCAGAACTTTTTATTTCCCTTAAAACTTTTTTTCTTGCTTTGTTAGCAATTGATATTTGATAGGCCCAACAGGATTTAACATTAGTGATGCACATAGACGAGTCATCTATAAGGGCTTGTTTGGAACGGAGAAATGGAAAATACGAGAAAAGGAAAAAACACAGGAATAGGATGAGGATAAGATGACAAAACAGATGATAGGAAAAACGTGGGAAACATATACAAGGTGGTGTTTGGAACATAAGAATTGGAATTATAGGAATCTTTATGGGTACCAAGGCTAAATGAAAAAAAATAGCAGCATGCAGCTTCACTCGCGTTATCTGGAATGTTTGGGTCACTAACAACCTGACAGTCTGCTGTACGCTCCCTTCTTTCCTATCTTCTTCAGAGGCAGCGCATCGGACGTACGCAAGGAAAGAAATCCAAGAGATGCCAGTAGCTTTTTTTATTTCCCATGAAACAAGCATCCAACTACAGTAAAAAATAGAGGAAAGGAATTGATATTTCCTGTGTTCCAAACGATCAGGTTCACTTCCTTTCCTTTGTTTTTAGATTCCTACGATTTTCCTTCAAAAATCCCTTGTTCCAAACGCCCCCTAACTGAGCAAATTTCCATTGCCATTCGAAAATTGAAAAGCGTGGAAACATTCACTGAAGTTATACATCACCAAGTCATTAAAATTTTGTTTACTTTCTCTTCTATGTGTCATCATGAATACTAACCGTTGAAGCATCTAGCAAACTAGATGTGTACAAATGAGTCACCTACAACTTTTTTAAACTTCCTTTGCCCATAGACATCTTTTCACTTCCGTTGTTCACTTTGATGCCAACTAGCTTCCTATTGTCTGCTTTGCTGGCAATTGGTAAGCACGCTAGAATTTGGAATTTAGTGGTGCACAGAGATAAGTGACCTACAACTTTCAAACTTTCTTTGCCATTCAAAAAGTGGAAGAGAAGTTGCTTAGGCCCATTTGGAAGGGCTTTGAGCAGCTTTAGCTTCCCTTGACATTATTCATGGTACTATAGTATGAACTATTTTTCTCCAAATTTACGTTAAAAATCCTCCAAATAGGGAGCTGATGAAGCCACTTTCTTCTGGCTCCACCTGATCCAACTCCATGTGGTACCGTAGTATGGAGCTAGAGACGGACCCCTCTCAAATGAGCCATTACATATAGCTATGGTGACCGAAATGATTTTTCTATTTTGTCATTTTTAGAGCCAACTATACTTTTGAGAATTGTTGCCACGTTCTCTTAAAGAAGAATCCATTGAGGCTCCATATGCCAACTAGTATCACTATGGACTAGACTCAACCTAGTTGATAAATTCAGGATTTGGTAGATTAGCCATGCAAGAACGAGTCGCCTAAAGCATTGTTGTTTGTTGCTATACCATTGAGAACAGTTATTAGAACCGGACCGGATTGGTGGTTCGACCAATAAAAGACCGAACCAAGCATCGGCCGGTCCGGTCCACCTTAAAAGACTGGTAAACAATCGAACCAGTATAAAACTGGTGAACCGGTAGTTTTTTCATAGAAACCGATGTAAAACTGGACATTGAACTGAGAAAAAACCAGGCGGCGAGGAGCTGCGCGTGGGGTTGCAACGTGGAATGCGGGGGAGAGGAGAGAAAATGACCTAAGGCAAGGGGGTGCATTACGTTTGGGAAATTGGAGTTCGGGTTAAGGCTAACTGGTTGGTGTTAGTCTTAAACCCGTTTTGCAGAAAGGGCATACCGGAATAGGCCGCATGATGTTGCCACATGGGTCAAGGGGCGTGTGTCCGGTCAAAGCAAGTACACACCGTGCAATGCAAGGTTCGATCCAAAAGCTCCGGACCATGCGTCAACCTACCGCCCCAGTCAGATCCACGTCGTGCACTGCGCCTGCACCTGCAGGGGCTTATCCCTTGCCTCCATGATCACTTGAGAAGCCAGAGGCCGCTGCCCTTCTAGGCTTCTACGGTTCTACGACTACGTTCGCTTTGCGTCATTCAGATGCAAATGTGCAACAATATAACCGAGCAGAAGGTTAACTTGCAGACGGGCAGAAACAGTCCATCCACCAGTCACACGACCATACAAGGAGTTCAGAGGTAAACATCGTGATGGTTATTATTATTAGTACTGCTACATCGTGTCAGTTGATTCAGTTTGTGTATCGGCGCAGCAACTGAGACAAGACAGTCAAAAAGCTCAAGGAAGAAAACACCAACAGCCAGGCGGCATCCGTATCTCGGTTCTCGGCAGAGCGGCCGGAACGATGCCCCATCTCTGGAACATACATACTCGCGGGGCAGCTTGGGCGCTCTTCAAAAAAATCGCCAGGCCACACGCGTGCACGCGCTCAGCACAAGGGGAGGACGACGCGGATCAGCTTGCCGCCAAGGCGTCAGCCGCCAGAGGACCTGAGCTCAGGAGCTGGCGGAGCCTGGGCGCACCGTGCTCCACGTGCCGGCCGCCGCTGCCGCCACCTCTCGATGGGCCTTCGACGTCCATCATCGAGAGGAAGTTCTTGACGACGCGAGCCGACGGGTGGCGCGGTGGCCGTCTGGTGGTGGCCTGCGGACGCCTCTTGTGCTTGGTCTGATGTACCGCCTGTGATGTGATGTGAAGGATTCGTTTCAGAAAATGGGACATGTTCATTGTTCGAAGGAAACAGAATGTCGAGAAGAAGAGTTCGAGTATGTATGCCGTTAAGAGATGAAGTACCATCAGAGCCGCATTCTCCACTCTTAGTTTCTGGGAGCTTTCCGTTAGCTTGCTGATTTCGCTTCGGAGGGATGTGTTCTCTGCGGTCAGTAACTCTATTTTCCTAGCCAGCTCTCCAGTCTCAGCCTGAAACGACAGGAAAAAACAACATGAGCATCATGTAATAAAGGTTGGAGTTGAGCTATAACTGAGACGCCACAAACTCTACAAGCTGAATATACATACGTTTTGCTCTCAATAAGGGGGTGGCACAGAACTTTTCTTAAGTGAATAATTTCCGAAACAATTAATAGCATGGCTGACAAGGGCATCTTGGGTTTACCTGCTTCCTCAGCCTTGAGCGTCGGGCAGATTCCCTATTTGACTGCTTCCTCCTTTCACGCTTTGATTCCTTATCGTCCTGACAATACAGCAACAGTTATACGTTCCAATTACTTCGAGCAAACCAAGAATATTTAATCCTATAAGTTGAACCCATTCTAGCAGCTCATAAGAATACCAATTAATTCTGCTCATAAAACAAAGCAGCAACCAAGAAACCCATTAAGATACTCTAGTGGCATCTTTTTTACAAAGTGGAGAGGAGGATACCGAAACAAAGTTATCAAGCACTGTCAACCAGATCAGAAGGGGAGAAAAGCATAACTGTCCACTCCAAGTGTCACGTCAAACATACCTTAGCCGGCCATTCGGTTGATGTCGCACCACTAACTTTGAAGTAACTACCCGTGCTCACACATGGTTTCATCGTTGCATCTGGAATGTGCACACTGGACAAAGTTGGTAATCTTCCTGATTCTCCTGGTTTATCATTAGTTGCCGAAACTCCACATGTTTCTGAACAAAAAAGGGGTGGAAAAGGCCCTTTTGACATATCATTGAAACTTACTGAACAATTGGTTCGATTTAACAAATAAGCTGAGAAATAACAAGCAAGAGTTCTGGATCGCCTGACTGAAAATATGCAATTATCATGTATATATATAGACTATGTTAGAGGAGTATTTCAGTAGAGTACCTGATGTAGTCCTATCATCTAAGTTCCTTTTCTTTGGCGTTCCGCTCATCTATAGAATGAAAAAAATGCTTACAGCGTCAGTGTTTCTTGGCTAACTCGGAACATCATGACACCATTGGCCACAGAACAATACCTTTTGGCTGTTTCCATCGCTGGATCCTTCTAGGCTGTAATCCCCACTAAATTCACAGCATCCAGATACAAAAGGACTCAGTTTACAGAAAGATAACAAACATGCCAGAAAGGTACACTTGCTATTCATTGGAAAATACTTCAGAAATATGATGTAACCACCTTGTTTTTTCACTGTTACCACTTGACACAGCAGTTCCATCAATTTCCTTCAGTTTCTTATTTAAACTATTATCCTTGCTGTTCACAGATTTAGCTGGCTCTGCACTCACTGGGTTTACCATCTTCAGACAAAAAATTATAAATCAATCAACATATGTAATAAAATATAGTAACATCTTAGTTTAATTACTAAAGTATGAGCCAAAATAGAGATAAGTACACCGCAATGCCATACTTACTAGGGGCATGAAGGGATGCAGGAAGCCACCAGCATGTGGATATATTGCAGCATATGGTTTTCCAAAGGCAGCTAGTGGCATATTCTGCAAAGACGCTGGGAGAGGTTATAATCGTACAACACATGAAAATGTATACAGCATTTGATATATCAAGATTTAACTTAAAATACCTGCGGACCCCACATATATGGTGGAGGGACATGACCAGGGGGGGCTATTCCAGGGTTAAAGAATGCTGGTGGTAAGACCCCTGGGCCATAATATGCCTGCACCGATGGTCCTATGGTTTAGACAGTTGCTCAATAAGAAAGGGAAAGTTGGTTTCAACGATAATCAGAAAACAAAATTATAAGGCAGTAGACCTGCATAGTCGACCAATCAAGGCATGGATAAATAGCTGGCTGATCCTGCAAAACACTCAGCTTAATTAAACAGCAAACCTGCATAGTCGACCAATAAAGGCATATAACTAGTAAAGTTTCTTGAGAACATTATATATGTGCTTGATTGCTGTCGGATGTAAAACCTTCTGTTACTTTGTAACAATGACACAGTAAAGAAAAAGAACACCTACAATACTAACCCTAGACGACATTTATACCAATAATAAAGCTTTAATGGGACTTTTCTATGCATTTGATTGTTTTTTTAGCCTTGGTTACATCCAGTGATTGCAAAATCAGTAAGGAAAAGTGGAAAACAATGATTACTCAATGTATTTACCTTGGGTGGTGATGGTGCTTTTACTGAATTCTGAGTAACTACAGCTTCATCATGCCCCATGTTTTTTTTGTGAATGCCTGCATATTTTTATGATAGAGATGTGAGATTACTTAAGAAAAATATCATCTGCGCAAATAAAACTTCCAAAATGTCTGCTTCATCATTCAGTGTATAGTAGTTATCATCAAATTGCGATTAGTTGTAAGCTCTCCACCATTTTTCTTCTTAATACAATGATGTGCAACTCTCCTACGTGTTCGAGGGAAAACAACATTTTGTAATTGTAGGCTTCGCATGAATATCCAACGCATCATTACAGCTCAAAGTTCATTAAAAGAACCAAGCTGCTACCATAGCTGTTCATGAATTAGATTACTCAAGATGATATAATTATATCCCTAATATCTATGAACATACCAGAAATATGCAATAAGTTCGTGTAACTTGCTAGTCCATGCTTATCCCTGGTCCTTACAGGTCAACACTAAATATTTTTAGTGTATGTGCAGTAGAATCACAATTGTAAGATGTAACTGTATCCATTGGAGAATAGGTTAATTAAGCTTATCCAGATGGTGGGGTGCCTTCTAATCTACCCAGTTACAACATTTAAATCATCTACGTTAAAAAAACATTTAAATCATCCTGGGTGCCTACCTCCTCCTTTAGTTTTGCAAAACACTGGTCATGTGCCCATTGCATCTTCGATCAAAATGATACATTTTTCACCTTAGGTGAAAAAGGTAAAAGGTGAAGTGATAGGCTAGATCATTTAGCTCCGTGTTTACTCCGATGCATCTTAATTTCTGAAATCCACTTTACCTCCTCTCCGATGCATGAAGAAAATGAAACAAGCAACCAAGTGTGTGTATCCGATATTTTTAAAATGAAACAAGCAACCAAGTGCGGTGTATCCGATATTTTTTGGTGCACTGCACTTTTCACTGTATGACAGGACCACTGAACAGTGGTAGAGCCTGATGAAGCCATCCTACTATCAAACTTTCGGCTGATAAATCACATCATTACTAATGCTGTCTTCTAAGGTGGGGGCAGAAAAACTCGACAGTGGATGAGTGGAACTGTGGAAGTAACATCGCTTGTTTCATCAGGCTGAAAAATGATGGTTTTCTTTTCTATCATGTGATCGTGTCCCCGAATCAGTTAAGCTCAAGTGGCATCTCTTAAAAAGGCTGAGCTAATGCTATATTCTGCATTCAGTACCAATAATAACAAGAGGAGTGTACAGCCACAGGGATGACGGACTAATCGAACTCTGTCCAAGACCACTACGACCACCATTCAGAATCCTAAACAGCATCAACGCAAAATTCCAGTTAAGAGCTGACCAGATGATCAGCAGTCTCGTCTGTCCAGTGCATACAATGCCGTGACCGGGAGACGACAAGGACCAGGACATCCTGTACGGGGAGCAATTTTACATTCTTGACATCCTCTACGGGCACCAATTTTACATTCTTAGTAACGTGCTCGTTTTGAAGAATAGGTATACATGAGAAGGGAGGAGTGAATCACGCTACTCCCACAGGCGCAGCATCATGTCCTAACCTTCACCAGGGAATTGGCAACGCCAAAGCATGTAGTAGCACCGATGCATGCTACACCGGCACGCAGCACGCCTACGCCTGCGCTACAGGATCCTAACGGGAAGCAGAGCAGAGCCGACTGCAGCGCATCTCTCGATCCTTTGCGAAGGTCACACCTCGCATAGGCGGAGGCGCGGAGCGGGGGTGCAACTGGAGAGCGCACAGCATTGCGTGGTAAGAGGGTGCAGGGAGATGGATCGAGCGTACCTGGAACCGGTGGCCGCGCCGGGTCGGGGACTCGGGGTCGAGGAGGCCTCGCGAGGATCGGCGGACGAGCCGGATGGGGAAACACGCACCGCCGGGGGAGGCGGGAGGGGCTCGGAAAGGAGAGGCGGCGCCGCGGTGGGGAGGCGATGCGAGGAGAGGGGTGCGTATGCCTATGCTATGCGTGCGACGGGGCGGAGCGTTTGATTTGGGAGAAGACGGGAGTACTAGGCAGTAGCCACAGCCCACACGGAGGGTCGGAGGGAGGGACTAGTTGCTCGCGCGAGGTGCGCGAAAGGCGTAGCCACGTCACGGGGGCACGTGTTGGCGGCCGATAGCTGGTGAGCGCGCGGCAGTCAGTTTGGCTGCCTGGGGCAGCGTCGGTTGGTGTACCCGCCACAGGTCAGATGTGCATCCACCCTTTGCGTTCCCGAATTTTTACTACTGGATGGATGGAGTAAATAAACAGACACACGGTGGTGTATTTCTGCGTTGATACACGGTGGAGTACACTGTATTTCCCTTTTCCAACCGTGTGTACACCGTATTGGTTTGGCGAGGACGTATCGACATCTGGTTGGATTGGATCACGCATAATTTACCCCAATCGTTGACGAACACATTCTCGTCGTGCTTCGCTTCAACTTATTCATAACTATTTTTTAGTTATAGAATAGTATTTTTCTCTCACAATATTTTAACATAAATATCAAAGATAAATCAAATTTCAGCGTAAATGAACAGGGTGACTATGTCAACTGCCAAGTTCATCACAGCACCATTTACCCGCGAAACACACTTGTTAGCATAGCACCTGTATGAATGACCTGTGGGACCGTCGAGCACTAATGCCGGGCAGTTCGACGAGCGGTTGGGTCGGGAGCTGGTGGGGGTGAGCTGTGCGGCCTGCGCAGCCCGACCACGGTGCGCGTGCTCCGCGTCACCCCTGTCGCGCGTCGCGTGAGCACGTGTCCGCTCGGGAGCCGGCCTACGCGTCCCGGCGGTTGCCTCACTTGAGGGCCAGATGGGCATCCCAGTCATGTGGGGTGACGTGGTGGATGCCGCCCTCGCGGGCCCCGCCGGCCGCAGACCCGAGGAAGGAAGGAAGCTTCTCCACTCTGTACACGCATGCACCAAAGCCTGGGCGACGTGGCATCGCTGGCGATACTTTACTTTATCACCGGCGGATTTGGCATAAAGTTAACGTGGTAGTAGCACTACTGACCAGTGACCAGTTAACATGGTAGTACTTGCTTAAGAGGGAACAAAACTGTCGAAACAAAGAGGGTAGCTCTGATGGAGAGTTAGGGCCTTGCCTGTCACAGGGAGAGAGCTTTCCAATAATCCAATTTTGCGATTTTAGATGGATGCCTGGGACAGCAACAAAATTGCTGTCTGGTCTGCTCCTTGACTAGAAAGCTTCTAACCAAATACGACTACGTAGTCTCGTTTGACTTAATTGCTGTTTAGTAGAGAAGCAAACAGGAAACGCCAAAAGCGGACAAGAAAACCTAGTATGTGGTTTACGACGTCGTTTAACTTGTGTGTTAACGCTAACCAACTGAACGTTGCCACCTATGTAATGATGCCAGCCCGTAAAAAGATGACGACGAGACGCGCGCGTCGAGAGGTTGCCATGCGCCGCGGCCATGTCCGGCTGTCCGCGCCCGTGCTGGCTCACGCGGAGCCGTTGCGTCGCCATTAGCCGTCCACGTAGCTCACCACCCGCATGGGTACGTGTTGCCTGTGGGTCCCGAGGTTGTCCCGGAAATGTGGAGGGAGGAAGAGAACCAATGGCAAGGTGCACCAGCTCTCGGGCGTCCACGTTTCCTACGCAACTGGCCCCACGCCCACGGGCCACGGGCAGGGATTGGTTTGGGACAGGTGCACCCAGAACCACCAGAAGCAGTGATTGGCGGACATGCAGTAGCTCCACGAACTCCACGAGGGACGAGTCATCGTTCGTCCAAGGGTTCGGCAAGCGAAACCCAGCACGGAGAAGCGTGCGTTGGGTACTAGGAGTACCTACTACGGTTCAGTTCGGGTCACGAGCTCGTTCCGTCTCTTCCGTTCCATAACATACGGCCCAATCATTGCGGATTTCTATTGTACATATGGGCCTGGCAGTATGGGCCAGAGCAGAACATGGGACACTCCCTGGGCTGGGCCTGGATAGGCCAAGCTTAAGTCAGTTTTAAGCTTTGTACAGCCTCCTTCATTTGTCATATACAGTATATTTGTCCTAGAACTTCTCAACCAAGTCCAGGTACATCTTCAGTCCAACTCACGCACTTCTTTGACTATCTTACAAGAACACGCAGTTCATTGTTCATGGGCATGCATGTGAGAGCTTAGCTTCTTTTCGTTCCTTTGTGAGTGCATACAAAAGAAGCTTCACCCAATGAACTGTTTTGAAAAATCGTGTATGGAAAAAAAACTCACAAAGCCGCTGGTGAAGCTTTGTCCAACAGGCCCTAGGCTCTAGCTGTTTCGGAAAAGCTAGAGCCATTTTTTGAGGAGATAGAGCCTTGCTAGATAGGCACTATCTTGTTGAATTGTTCAGTATACAACTCTAAACTAGAAAGATTTTGTCAAGTTAACTTCAATTGTTCTTGCTTATATTCATAGTCTTTCTATGATAGGAGCCATCTTTGAGTCGATCATTCTATCGTGGATGACTTTTGTAGCGGAGAACTACATGAAAAAGCTTGTTCTGTAATTAGGACATGTGATGTTTTTGCACCCAACTAGAAAAGAAAACAACTTTGTTGCACATTTTGGCTTGCGCATGCACACCTTTTTAGCCCCACACTTTATCTAATACAACATGATTAGATACTAACTCCGTCTCAAAAGAATATAATTCTAACATAATACCTAGTAAAAACATATTAAGTTTGACCAAATTTATATAAAATTATCAACTTATATTACCAAATAAATACCATTAGATTTTTCATACATTTTAATACTACACCTATTTGGTGTTATCATTATTGATATCTTTTTCTGAAAGTCTGAATAAATTTTAGATAGTTTGATTAAGAAGAGAATTAAATTTGCATCATTTTCAGGATAGTGATAGTATGTTGCATTGTTGCTGTATGTGTTCTGAAAATAGTGCACCCACCATTTGGTTCTAAGGGTGTGTTTGGTTATCAGGCACCGCTGAACCACGCTAAAGGTATGACACGCCGCACTTGTGGTGTCAAATTTTGGCGCTAGCACTCTGTGGCAGTTTTTCTACTGCAAGTTTCTGCGTACTAACCAAGCAAGTGCTTCTGATTTTTATAGCAAGCCACAACTTTGGCTTGACAACGTGCGGTGAACAAAAAAACACGCCCTAAGTAACTCATGCCATCGGTATTTAGGGACTGTTTGAATTGGCATAAGGCAAACCTGTCTGTCAGGCAAACTATTATCAGACGTTGGATTTTGAGAGCTTAGGGTTAGATATGTTGCCTAAAGAAAGCTGCCTATTCTGAGTTTAAATCAAAACAGCCCTTCAGTACATAACCTTCTATAAGATCGAGGAATTATGGTGTGGACTTTAAGGGCTAATTTGAAAACTCAAATCCCGTGGTCTCAACCACCCACGTCTGCATTGATAGTCTGAAGGCATAAAACTCCCAACGCAGGCAACATCTTCAACCTTTTATCCTTATCTTTGCGGTGGGCATCAAAAGGCTGCCATCATCTCAGAAACACGTGCCTTGAGTCTCTTGTTTAGCTGCTCCGAGGCCGTAACGTGGGTTTTGATGTGAGCTTCTGCTCGGTGTCAAATGAGGCGAACGGTACCTCAGCAAGAGGTTCTGACACTCTGCTAAGCCACTAATCCATGAAAAAATAATTTGAATAATTATTTAGTTCATTATGGAGGGGTTTTCATTCGTGAGTGTGGTTTTCCTTCTTTCAAATTAGCCCTAATGGCGTTGTTCGCTGGTCTCACAAAACCAGACCAGCCGGCTGGTTGCTCTCACATAATACTGTTCATCAACCTGCCGCTACAGTGTTTCTCTCTCATAAAACCAGTCAGTTTCAACCAAGTTTCAGACCAGCGAACGGGGCCAATGTCTTCTTGCCTTTCTCGAATCATTTTGTGGTGTTTTGACATAACAGGGTGCTGGGTGGTGTTGTTGCGGTACTATCAGCTGCACTCTTTAATTACAATCAGTTTCAATATACACTAGAAATGGGGCGCGGCGTTTCCACGCCTGCCCTAGACACCTCCTCTAGATTTGGACCAGTATTGCAATGGATAGCAGAACATAGAAATATATCGGAAAGACAGTTGGCATTTCACTATTCATTCCTAAATGAAGCACAGAGGATCACATTGAAATGAATTTCAGAACTATGTAATATGCTCTTTGAGGGAGTATAAGGCCCCGTTTTGCTTGCTGAAATTTGGCTGAATTGGCTGAAGAATACTGTTCTGGTTGAATTCTTGTGAGAGAAAAATACTGTTCCAGCTAAAAAAAAAGTTGAATAGTGCAGATCATAAGGTAAGCCGAACGGGGACTTAAAAGTTTTGTTCCTTAACAAAGAGAAGGGATTGTTCAGATAATGATATATTATTGAGGTGCAACTTTATTTGTTTATATAAAAGCCTTTGTTCCGATGTCTTGGAGAACCTGCAATTAGCCATGTATGTGAATTGGAAAATGAAAAGGAAGAGCCACATGTGAAACAACCTGCACCATTTCCAGATTACAAGGTATGATTGTAATTTATGAGCGTGAGGCGTAGACACCGGTAAAGAGTTAAAATTTCTTGTCAGAGGCAGAAGAATATGCTCCTAAGTTTCTATCATGATCTTTTTTATGAAGAATAAAATATAATTACTTTGGGAGTATAAAAGATTTGCACCGCCGCGCCTTCCCTTTCGATTAGGCTAGTGGCAATAAGAATATATGTGTAGTGATGAGAAACTCAGCATTTTTTATTCATTTTATGATTTTTATGTATTTTCGAGACTTTATCATCATGAAGGTATAATTTTATTTACCCCTAAAAAGCATAGGTAAAAGTTTATATGAAAAATTTCTTACTAAAACATGCCATATTATGGATGCACTGCATAGTTCTACTAGTGAGGATTTCAGATCAACTTGATTTTCTAATTTACAATTTTTCTATGATTTACTATGCAATTTTAAAGTTTCAGCTATTTTTTTAAAAAGAGATATAATCAAAAGGTGGCTTGAATGTTGATTTGAGAAAAATCTGAGAAGGTTTTCGCAAAAAATGTTGAGAGGGTCTCTGGAGTGCGGGTTGATTTTCGATAAAGAGAAGGTCTTGTTTACAAAAAACCAGTAGCCCATCCGATCTAGATTGCGGGTTGATTTCAAAATAATCTGAGGTGTTTTTTGAAAAATATACTGAGAGGGCATCTGGAGCGCAGGTTGATTTTCGAAAAATAGAAGTGTGTTTTGACAAAATGACCGCGGCTCGCCCGATCTAGGCCGTCCGCGCGCCCGATCGAACGGCCTCGAAAAGCCACCGACGTGACCGCGCTGTCCTGGCCCTCTTTTAGGTGCAGAATTCCTATAAGAAGATACTAAGGGCCTCGATGGAATGCGGTTTCTCCTCCTAGAACTTCTCTTTGTCAATATTTAACAGGGCACGCCCAATTAAATATAGACCCATTACTGGTGGTCTAATTGCACCCTTACGTCTGGTTTGAAGGCATAAAACTTTTAACGCAATTAGTCCATGATTTGACAACGTAATGCTACAATAAATATGTGCTAATTATAGATTAATTAGAAGCTTAAAAATCGCTGCTCAAATTAGTCTCCATCTACGTAATTGATTTTGAATTAATTTATATTTAATCTGCTTTATTAGGCCTCAAACATTTAATGTGACATAAATTTTCGGTGTCAGATGAGGTGAGGTTCAGACCCCCTAACGTCGATGGAGTGCGGTTTCTTCGAAGTACTGTCTCTTTGTCAGCTGGCTAACAGGGCACGCCCTCAAACACCCACGTCTGGTCTGAAGGCATAAAACTCTCAACGCAGGCAACATCTTCAACTTTTTATCCTTATCTTTGCGGTGGGTATGAAAAAGCTGCCATCGTCTCATAAACGCGTGCCTTGAGTCTCTTGTTCAGCTCGGTGGCCGCAACACGGGTTTTGATGTGAGCTTCTGCTCGGTGTCAGATGAGGTGAGGTTCAGACACTGCCGAGCCACCCGACGACGTGGAAGCCGAGGCTCCCAGTACGCTGGTGCGTTGGGGACGGCCTCAACGCTGAGGTGCTAATAAAATGCACGAAAACGAAGGGCAGGAATCACTTGTGATTCTGCTGCCAGACAATGACCGGGAGCGAAAATGCAGATCACGGATCCATGGACCGGGTTCACGAAATAATTAATAATTAATGATATAGCACATACAGACAGGCAGCGGCAACCACGGGAGCCAACCCGATCACGTTGCTCCCGCGGCTAGACTAGCCCCACGACCTCCACCTCGACCATTCCCGATCCCGTGGACTCCCGGTTGCCTCCCTGCCCCGGCTCCAGCACTTCCATCCACCCCCGCGCGGCGGTCGCCGGAGCGAGCAGAGCAGCCGGAGGGCCCGTTGGATCCACCGTCGCCAACATGAATGACGCCGATGTAGCCAAGCAGATCCAGCAGATGGTGCGGTTCATCCGCCAGGAGGCCGACGAGAAGGCCAACGAGATCTCCGTCTCCGCCGAGGAGGTCAGTTTCCCTTCGTCGCCGCTTCCTCACCCTCCTAGAAGCTTCCAGAAGCTCCTAGATGCTTGCCTCTGTACTTTCAGCTGCTTGATCTGGCTGACGCGCTCCATGATCCCGAAGCATCTGGGAGCGCCCGCCTTAGCCCCTCGATTGTTTTTTCGCTTGGTGTTTCGCTTATTGTGCACGAGATCCGTAGTCCCAAGCGACGAAGATCCCCAGTTCCGAGGCAGATCGAGGAGCGTTTGGAGTTGGGTTAGCGGCTCTAGGGCTTTGAGCTTGTGCCGATCACGGTGGGTGGTGAACATTGTAGAACTTCTAGATCGCGGAGGTTTTGTGCCTCCAACTCTCCAAGCTTTGACCTGGTATTTGGAAGAGCCCTCAGACAGTTCACGCCATTCTCTATCGACTGACTTAATTCTAGGGCTCCTGTATAACTGTAGTCAGACGAGGTGGTTTTCGGAGCTCGCAAATGGTTCACAGGCTTCCTGATGGCTCTGGAAACAAAATTGGAGCTTACGCTGAATTGGGAACTCCTAAGACGTGATTCACAGCCTTCTAGATGGCCCTAGAAGCTAAATTGGAGCTTAAGCTGAATCACTCCATTTCTCTTCTAGACTAATTCTATGAGTTAGGCTTCAAAGGGAATGACTTCATACTCGGATGCCCCGTTTGTCTTCTGCCTTGGTTCTAGGAGTTAGGCTTCAAATAGCTTTCCAAAATTAAGAGTGTAACCCCTGATATCAAATTTCAAACAACTAATCACAACTCCTGTATGCCGTACCTAGTTACCTATGCCATTAACCATGGATCATATTTTAAGGTGCCTTTTTGGTTTCTTGCTCTAGTGCGAAATGGACATTGAAGTAACTGTACTTGAAGATGCAATCTGATAGATACCAATTTTCGGTGCTTGCTAGCTGAATTGCTAGTGTACTAGACACTGGGCAACAAATTTACTTGTTGGAGGGCTTCTTCCATTGAGCACATTGGTGTCTTTTCCTTTTTGTCTTTGCTGCCGACTTGTGAACAAAGTGTACTGATTGAATTCAATGTATGAGATCACACGCGTGTATGATTAATATACTGATTCTGCTACAGTATAGTAGAATGTGTTGGACCATTATGCTCAACATCCATCGGTAGAATCCATCCTGTCAAACATTCAAAATCTTGAGTAATAATATGTCTAAAACTATCAAAGATTACCTATGTGAAAACACATTGCTAGGCCTATCTTTTAAAAATGCTTCCGTAAAAGTACATTTGTTAGTGTAGATTGGCATGAAGTTATAAAAAGTAGCATGCACAGTTTAATCTTGAAGATCATAAAAAACTGAACAATACAAGAAAAGGTTCACTTCGCGTGCTATATTTGGGTTGAGGAGATAGTAGTGTGCTCCCTGGATATACATGTGGTGCGGTAATGTTTGACTTCATGAAAATAGTCATGTTGAAGTGCGTGAGTCATGTATTTTGCAGTACATAAATATACACTTCTTTTCGTTGCTATTTTCACACCCATCTTTTCCCTGATTATTAGACATGTTTATGCATTTGGGCGAAAGTTGAATATGAGTTAATTACTAACTATACTGAGTCAGTAAAGCGTGTCAGAGATTTAGGTTTATCATTAGAATAGTAGCATCCTTTGTGTCCACATCCTCAGGTCGGACAGGGCCAAAAAAAAGTTCCACTTTTGCTACGACCATATTCATAAATGAAGAGCATACACAGAGTCATTTGTGTATCTAGCTTACATAAATAGATTCAATGTGATTTGATCAGACAGACAGTTTCACATCTCTTTTTATGTGTGTACTTGTCAATGCCCTTTTTTCTACGCGTCCTCAATTTTAACTTATTTGTTTAAAAACTCGCAGGAATTCAACATTGAGAAGTTGCAGCTTGTTGAAGCTGAGAAAAAGAAGATCAGGCAAGAGTATGAACGCAAAGAGAAGCAGGTTGAAGTACGGAAGAAAATGTAAGACTTCAATTCTCTGAATTCATTCACCTCGAGGATAAACAGTAGTCGGCTAGACGCTATCGAATATGATGCTGTTGCCATAAAATGCATTTCATGTCGAGAATGTTCACAACATGTAACATGCTGCGTTAACATCACAAATATGTCATTGAGCTGGGTTGCACCCCAGAGCAGCATCATATTGGTTCCAACTTCCAAGGTTGTTAGGATTGGGATCCTAGGCACTAGGCAGTATCATTTTTGTCCAAGCAGTATCAAATCATAGGATTGTATCGTAGCATCGGGATACTATGAGATTTCTTTTTTAAAATATCATGACTCAAACAAATATATTTGTCAAAAGAAAAGCACAGTTAGAGCTAATAGTTCCATTTAACGTAGGTTCTGAAGATAAAGTGATGAGTTTGTCCTCATACATGAACACAAAACTTCAGATAGTTATATTTATTTCTTAATGCCAACATTGTTGACACATAGTTGGAGTCACATTGCATCGGGGAAGAGCTAACTATCTGTCACAATACCAGAAATTATCAGTATCTACAGCTATGCCATCAGAAGAGCAGGGTTATCCTTTTCAGTAATCCATTCATCATTGGAAGGCACAATCCATATCATGAGTGGTTAAGGCATCAGGTAGAAGATAAAGTACATGAGTACTAACACTCACCTTTGCTAGTGCTACAATGTTGCTACAACTAGCGCCCAGTTTCTAGAGGTCTGCACGAATCATTTACAGCTTCATGTGGCACAAGTGCCTGGCTTCTGGCTCTCCGGTTTGCTGCCGGCGGCCCAGCGGTTGGCACCCAAACCCCTTTCACCAAGACATGGACACATCTGGCACCTCCCCTCCTGCTTTGTAGACGAAGCAATTAGCTAGCCACATAAAGGAACAATGGAGACATTCAAATCCAAAGAGAAGGGGAAGAGATTACGACAGTGACCTCTTTCTCTGCATAATGCCACCGCCGCCAGTGCAGCTTTTCTCTCTTGTACGGTTTGTACCAAGCGCATCCAATCCCTGCTGTTTGATCTCAAATCCGAAGGATGATTTCTGACCTGTCCGTAGAGTCACTTGAGATCATATTCGTAGCGTGATTCTAATAATCCTGCGATACATATTATGATCCCAGATCAATACTACCCAAAAAAGATACTGCGATCTTAGAGCGACATTATCATTTGGCCTGGGTAGTTTCGTAGTATAGTATGATACTAATCCCAATACTGACACAACCTTGATTGGTTCTTAAACAAAATGTAATCGAAGTAACTGCAGGCTGCTGCAACTTTACAGTTATGTTGGCAGCCTTCACTTTTTGACCGCATAAGAATTCTGAGATGGTGTGTTTGATGCTTCTGGGGTTTTTTCTTCCAAGTCTGGATACAGAGCTTATTTCTATGGTTCAGTGACCTTTGAACCTTGGCGCCGGTTGTGGAAGTCTTGGGCCCCGACAAAATGCAAATTTTTTCTCTGGTTAGCGATCTGCAATAGATGTTGGACAGCGGACAGGCTTGCTAAGAGAGGACTCTCTCATCCAGATAAGTGCCCTCTTTGCGATCAAGAAGATGATCAATACAGCATCTCCTAACATCGTGTGTAGTGGCAAGAGAATTCTGGTTCAGATTGTTTGCTCCAATTGGTCTAGCTGGTTCTGTTCCTAGACAGAATGAAGGTAACTTTGCCAACTGGTAGCGCAAGACAATGAAAAGGGTGGAGAAAGAGCATAGAAGGGGAGTGAATTCTCTAATAATCTTAGGCGCTTGGATTATCTGCAAGCATAGAAATGCATGTGTCTTCGAGGGTGCTGCACCTTCGGTAACATCAATTATAAGGGAGTTCAAAGATGAACATAGTCTCTGGTGCCTAGCTGGAGCTAAGAAGCTACAGGGTTTAGAGCTTGGTGGTAGAATCTAGTTTTCTTTGTAGCTTTGGTTGGGTCGTGTTGTTTTTTGGCTCAAGTTTTCGTCTTTATTTTGTTGCTCAAACCACCTCTCAAATTTGGTCCCCGTATGAGATAAGTGGGCTGTATGGGGACCATTTTCTTCTCTAATACAATGAAGCGCAGCTCTCCTGCGTTTTCAGAAAAAAATCCCATTAGGAGTTTAGGACATAAACATGTTATCCAATATGACACTTTGGCAGGAATGTCTTCAGAAATAAATTGTTTTAAATGGAAGGAGTTATAAATTGCGATTTTTTTTTTTGTTCATAACGAATCTAGTAACGCCAATCTATATAGAATTTTAAATATCGGTACTGCAACAAAAATTAAAATTTTAGATAATGGTAGTCAATGGTAAAAGGAATTGACTTGGGATAAACCTAGATGAACATATGGTTGTGACCAGAGGAAGTAGATAAGTTGGCTGAACATTTTATTTTGGAATTTTAATAGTTAGTAGATGTTATATAGTCAGGAGGTAGGAGCATGATGACAACAAAAGTTGAAGGGAATATGCTGAGGATGAAAGACACTAAGACAGATCTTAACACTGTAAAACATACACAATAGGTCACAGGAAACTAAATGACTCAATGGAGAAAAGGAACTCCTAGCTTAGTAAATACAACACAGAAATAACTGAATATTGATTTACTATAATGGCATTTTAGTTTATCTGTAGTGTTTAGGCCATGTTTGTTTTGAGCTTTTGGCCACTTTTAGACTACTAGCTTTTGGACTTTATAAAAGCCAAACAGCTCTCATAAGCCAAAGGCCCAAAAGCTCACTATAATGAGCTTCTGGCTTTTGGCTTCCGAGAGCTTTTTGGCTTTTGGAAGATCCAAAAGCTGAGGTCCAAAAGCTCCCTGGAAGCTCAAACAAACAGGCCCTTAGGGTTAATCAGATCCATGCCACTATAATGAAATATATACCACTGCAACTTTTGACATCCAAAATATGCCATCATGATTTGCTTTATCTTTGAGACGTGCCATTATGTCATTTTGTATCAATGTTTATGAATTTTCAAACCTGTTACCTGACAAGTTTCTGTTTTGCTTGTTAACAGTGAGTACTCTATGCAGTTGAATGCTTCTCGCATCAAAGTTCTTCAAGCTCAGGATGATCTAGTTAACAAAATGAAAGACGATGCCATGAAGGAACTCCTTCGTGTCAGCCACAACCACCATGAATACAAGAACCTTTTGAAAGACCTAATTGTTCAGGTTTGGACAAATACAGCATACACAAATTTCGATGTTCCTTTTCTTAAAAATTTCTACAAGTCAATATCTCAAGTTACTAAACAAATGAAATTTATGAATATTAATGCATGCTCTGATCTTAAATTGCAATGAAGGCAAACTATAGCACATTATGCTGTTTGTCATTTTTTTTCCTAGATTTGGTTGATCTTAACTGATGTCAAATGCTCAATAGGGCCAAATATGCTATGTGCCATTTCAGAACTTTCTGCTCACTGCTTCCCATTGTTGTCAAACATCAATTAGTCAGTCTGTTTGATCAAATGCAGGGCTTGCTCCGTTTGAAAGAGCCAGCTGTATTGCTCCGTTGCCGCAAGGAAGATCACCATCATGTGGAATCAATACTGCATTCAGCAAAGCACGAGTATGCATCAAAAGCAGACGTCCATGAACCAGAGATAATTGTTGACCATGATGTGTACCTGCCACCTGCCCCAAGCCATCATGATGTTCACGGCCAATTTTGGTAATGTTTGTTATGCCACTGGTTATTTGTTTGGGGGAGTATTATTTGATTACTCTTGGACCCTTTGTTGACTGCCACTGGTTATTTGTTTGGGACTGGAGAATTATTTGATTACTCTTGGACTCTTGGTTGCCTATCTCTGCTGCTGGTTGACATGCTACAATAGTGTTTTGCATATTAGTTCATGGTAGAATTAGCAGATAGTTGTTCATATTACATTTGAATTGACATATTACTAAGCTTAAATCTGATATTGTTGCTAGGCTTACTGTGATGTCTCCTTTTTTCAACAGTAATGTTTCTTTCTTTAGCAAAGCCAAATATATGGGCAATACCATAGTATTGCAAGAGACTATGCTGTCATGTCATGCATTAAGACATATATATCTTCGGAACCATGACTAGGGGCTCATGTTGAGTTTCAACTCTAGCCTACCCCAACTTGCTTGGACTAAAAGGCTTTGTTGTTGTTGTGTAGTGATGGAACTTGGAAAAGTGTAGTTTTTCCCCTTCCCAGTGACATGATAATAACAGATCTTTTTATTACATTAAAAAATCATATTTTGTGCAATTTAATGCTCTGGATGGTTTCTTATGTGTTAGAGATACATATCTCTATGTATCTTCATGAGATTTGGATTGCTGCTATAATTCTGAATATATATAGTCTATTTCCAATAGTTTATGGCTAGCTTTTCAACTCAATCTTGGCCATAATTCCAATGTTCTATTCTAAAAAGTATCTGTTTATTCAGCTCTGGAGGTATTGTCTTGGCTTCTCGAGATGGAAAGATTGTGTTTGAGAGTACACTTGACGCAAGACTGGAAGTTGTTTTCCGCAAGAAATTGCCAGAGGTACCTTTGGCCATCGCATTTTTTCAATATACCATGTCACTCCAACCCTTTTTCAGTTCACATCATGTCCAGCTGCCTTTCTTTGAAAGAAAAACCAACACAATTACAACGATGTGCATTTTCTCATTTGTGGGACCATTCTGAGTGGCGCACTTTAGACTTTAAAGGGATGTTATTTTCATTATGATTGCAAAAAACTTCACCTTTTAGCAGTACCCTGTCATTTAGTTACTGTAAAACAGGTAGATCTTTTTTATGATTGCAAAAAACTTCACCTTTTAGCAGTACCCTGTCATTTAGTTACTGTAAAACAGGTAGATCTTTTTTATAGGAGAAAACGCACCAAATGACCATTCTTCTGTTTTTTTATCAGCAATTAATTATTACTTTATCATGAAATCTTGCTAGATCCAAGTTAACACAATCCTCCTGCCCTTCCAGATCCGGAGGCTTCTTTTTGGCCAGACTGCAGCCTAATTGACTCATCAACAGATGGTACGGCTGCTTCTATGTAATGGTTGCCGGTTCCACGCCTGCAGCCATAAGGAACTCCGCCTGTTTTTGCCAAATTGATTGTTTAAGTTATTCATCCCCTATGTACAAACTACCTATTTGTTCATTATTATCGCTGAGCACCCACTGTTTGTACTCTGTTTGCTCCGAGGAATAAGAATAAAGCACCGCCAGACTTTCCATTGCGAAGCTGAATAAATATTGTAAAGCCATTTCCTGTGCTGAACTTTGCGTTTCTGGCCTGTCGATGTGTGTATTTAGTTAATGTCGGATACAGTTCTTGTGAAAAATAATTTGTGTAAGTTGTCAGTTCACCTCCTGTTATGTCTATCCATTTGTTCGAAGAATGCTGCTTTTGAACACAACGGTATTGAATTTTGTAGATGGAAAGTGTTGCAATTTTGTCTATCCGGCGGGGCTTGCTCTGTACATACCTACGCTGCATGTGCTGGCAGGAAATGTGTTCCAAGATAAGCGTGACACAACGGCGCAACCACGTTTGCGCAGATGGTACTGTCTCCTAAGTGCAATAACTGAGACTGGATTTCAAACGAAGCGAGAAGCCTTGCAGCCTGAAGCCACGCCGGCAGGATGATTGCCTCCATTGCTTGGAGTAATTGCGTTCGAGAATTGCGATGCGCAGTCAGTCTGCAACTGAATATCTGCAGTTTCTGCACTACTACTTGTGCTCTGCTTTTGTCGCCACAGCTATCTATGAGTTGCAGCTCAATGCACTCTACTTGCTCTAACCGGAGCATGCCAGTTATCATCTTCTACGAATGGATGTGCTGGCTTGAATTGAATGCGTTTCCAACGGTGAAGTGCACCTGCTGATCTGCATGGCAAGTCCAGCTAGAGCTAGCGTTGCAAGCCTGGGCAAGCGTGGGGTTGGCTCTCGTCCAGACATGGAAAAACACAATTCGTCAGATAGCGTTGAAACTCTTACGTCAGATGGGAGCATTCCGAATTTCCTGAGGCGAATTTGAGTCGGGGGAATCGAGCGACGAGAGCTCAGTCGACAGTTTTTCCTCTTCACACTGTAAGGTCAAGTGGGCGAGTATTGTGTGTGAACCTGCCTGAAACAGCTCTCAGTTTGATGCAGATTGTGCTTGACCATCTGCCTGAAGATCAAAAGATACCAGCAGCAGAGATCTGCTGTGCTGGACGACTCTGTGTGCACATGCGAGTCACTCGACTAAGGTGGAAAACTTTTTAAATATATTTTTTCCTTTTTCCCAAATCGCAACGGTTAGTTTTCTTTTCCGCATCCAACGTCCATACCTACCTCGAACAACTGTTGGTCAAATGGTTGGAAGTGCTTAGTGTCTGCCGTCACTGCAGCAGCCAGTAGACCAGTGCCGGACCTAGGATTTTGAGGGCCCTCTGGCGAACTCGTCGCGACGGCCCCTCTCGACAAATGTTTCTTAAGTAACACTCTAAAATTCTAACACTTGACCTAAATTACAAGAAAAACATGACTATATGAGTACAAAGTACTAGACAAAAATTGAACAAGGAAAAAAAACCTAGGGCCTAGACAATTTGGACATGAACTTTTTCATAACCAAGATTCACAAATCACAAAAAGGGCAGAAGGCAATAACCAAGATCAGATGTCGTCGTCTTCGTCGAGCCCTGCCTCACTTGCTTGGTCGCCGCCATCGTCTGGATTCTGGAAGACTGGAACTCGGGCGTCGGTGTCTCGGTGATCTGCACTGGTGATCGCGTGGTGAACTGGTGATCGGCGCTGCGTCTCTCGCAGTCTCGCGTCTTGCCGTCTCGCCAGAAGTTCGGAAGTCGCAACTGGCGATCGCTATGTGCACATGTGCAGGTGTTGGCAGCTCAGCTCCTTGCCTCCTGAAAAGAAAGAGGCCGACGACTCCTTTTGCTGATGGGCCGCTTCATCTTCTCATTAATCCTAATTTTTAATGGACTATAACTAAAGGGTATGGAGTATTATATACTTAGGCTTGAGCCCCATCCCTATATACTTAGGCTTGGGCCCTCATCCCGCGAGGGCCCTCGGCCGTCGCACCTCCTGCACCCTCCTTAGGGCCGGCACTGCAGTAGACTAAAGCTGCTATCAGCGCCGCCATCATGCATCTTATACAAAACACCCATATTAATCCCGCGGTCACAGGCAAAGTACACATGCTAATACTGGCGTAGCAGTAGTCCGGCACGCAGCAGCAGGAAAAGCAAAAGGTTCGTGCGGTACACGTGACACTGCCCCATCAACCATGGAGATCGAGGGGCTAACGTGGACGCATCTTGGCGAGCCTGGACGACGAATGGATGTGATGATGCGTGTGTCCCAGGCCTGCCGCTATCCCCCAACCCCATGCAGGCAGGACAGCTCGCTTGGAAGAACACAAAAACAAGTCACAACTCACAAGCGAGCGAGCGAGCGAATCTGGCTGGCTGCAGCTGCAGGCCACCATTCTCGTGCTTGCAAGCGTGCCATGTCACCGCCCAGAGTATTTTAGACCACTTCCCCCTGCACTTTGCCGGGCACCGGTTGGCTGAGAGACAGGATCACAGGAGAAAGACAGCGCATTAGCATACGCTCCACACGTTTAAGGGATTAAAGCACAGTAAACCACTTCCTAATAATTTCGTCGCCTCGGGAGCGAGAGAGAGAGACAGTGTGCGGTGGAGGTTCCCGACGAGAGGAGAGAGGGGCCGTTCGCTGGTCTTATGACAAGCCAGCCGGCTGATTCTCTCTCAATACATTGTTCATCAAACCAGCTAAAACAGTATTTTTTCTCACAACAAATTAGTCGGAACAATGTTTTTCAGCCAAATTTTATACCAGAGCCATGTGTGTGTGTGAGGCCTGGAGTACTCGACGAGCTGAGGCTGAGCAGCAACAGGGAGGGAGGCATGGGGAGGAGTAAACAAAGAGGGGGCAGCATAGGAAAAGACCACCAGGCGCCCTCGTGAAGCCCAGCTGACGCTCCAGCTTTTTGTGCCGCGTTCAGCCCTCCGCCAGCGCGCGAGATTCTCGCCTTCCGCCCTGGCCTGGCCGACGCTGGCTTCTGCATGCCTCTCTGCGCGGCTGCCGTCGGGATCGCCGCGGCAACGGCCGCGCCCGGCACGTGTTACAAAAACCGGCCGTGCACCAGCCGATCCTCGGCAGTTGTCAACTCCCGCGCGCTAGATCTCGTCGTCCTTTTACCCGCTCCTCCACTAGCTGTGCTCCTCGGAGAGCTAGCGCCAAGCTCCGAGGCGGGCGGCGGCTACGGCTGGTTCCATGGCACTTTCGTGATTTTTTAGGGAAACAGTTCTACAGTCTATTTTAGTTATTTGATTTTCTAGTCTAGAAATAAAGTTAGTTATTAGAGGCTTTTATGTGCTCCAATGTTTTTCTATATAATAAAATAATATAGATCGCATGTGCCAACCGGTTCATAAATGGATCACAACTTATCGTATGACCCGGTCTTCCCCGGTCCTTGTTCTATGTCCTTTCACATGGTTTTATTCGCCCTATTCGTCTAGGTTTGTTTGGATGATAAGCCATAGCTGAAAGTACTGTTGACTGATTTGATGTGAGAGAAAAATATTGTTCGTTGGCTGAAAAAGTACGGCTTATAAGCCAAACAAGCCCAAACCACGATTATATCTAAACTACATCTATATCTACTGTAGTCCATTAGCATTCGACAAATCTAACGTCAGTATTATAATATATTTAATATTTACTTGAAAACATTTTCTATGTCAGCATACGACAAATCTGTAGTTAGTATTATAATTTGATATTTACTCAAAACTAGTCGACATGGATGTGAGATGATATGCTTGGTCGCTCTAGTTACATGAGTGCCCTCTAGATATGTTTCTTTTTCTTGTCTAGCTTAATAATGCGGAAATCTCTTCTAGAGTAAATCTACCAGAGGCACATTCCTGTATATGTGTAATTAATCTCTCAATGGTAATGATGATCATCACTTTTCTTCCTAGAGCTTATCTAAAGTTATTATGGATGTACATTTGAGGAAATCTAGCGAAATATTGAGTGTGTATTTAGTGAATGAACTTTTCTTTTAAGGCAATTCTTTGAATCAATAGATTAGTATCAAACTACTCAGACAAGTATTGGCTTTAGGCTGCGATTTCAATTCAAGCGAATGAAAAAGTCTGTAGCAAAGGATAACAAGTAAATTCATCTAATACCATGCTTTCTTCAGGAACATTATGCTTTGTGAACAGATATGACTTCTTAAAAATAAACTATGTACAGGTACAATGGGCCATGTTATATATTGAGATTATATAGTTCTCCATGTTAATTGGCATTTGTATTATACGCTTTTGATACTTTCTTGAACAAGTCTCTGATTTAGTTCTATTGAACTTAGCATGAATACTCTAAAGGCATTTCTACTGAGTGTAATGAAGAAATTGACTCTAGGATAAATATAATTGTATTGTGTTATGTGTTTGGAGTATGCATTTTGCTTTGTCACATGCAATATCCATGTGTAGTAGAGATGGTCGTATCTTTGCTTTGTAGAGCTTATCACTTTTCAATTCTTGTTATATGTGGAGGTGTATTTTAGTATTAATGTTTTTAGGCAACATATTCTACCACCCTTAGTTTTGGTGAGGTTTATATGTTTGGGAGCGCCTATTTTCAAATTTCAAATGAATAAAGTTTTGTTATTTTATTAGTCCCTCACATGGGAACCATCACATCAATGTTGAAGATGTCACAGAATATCAGATTTAGATGTGCTTAAAACATAAAAAACTCAAACAAATCACAATTTCACAATTAACAAATAAAGTTGATGTTCCGTTTGTTGGACTTGCTTAGTAATTGGTTGTATTTATGTGTGAAATCTAGCACAAAAATGACTAAGAACATTCTTTATTTTATCTCAAGGGAAAATGAATGTCATTGTAAATGTAGGTTCAAGTATTATATATATAATGTGGAAAATTACATCTAAGCATGA